CTAGAGAATAAAAAAAAAAGTGATAAAATATAGCATAGGATGCATGAGATGGGATACAGGGACGAGGTCTGTATCAATAATCAATTAATTCTTGTACACTTACGCGAATTATAAAAAAAAAAAAACATCAGCAAAAAAAAAAAAATCAACTTCCGCAACTTCAATCTCAACAGCACAACAACCTCATCAACAACAGCAACCACAACAACAACAGCAACAGCAACAACAGTCGCCAAGCCTGTGCATGGTCGACGTAACTAATCCATCCAAGCGCTCGAAGACGAACGACAACCAACCCCCACCTGTTTCATGCGACATGACTCCAGCCATTGCAGCCGCGCCACAACCTGGTTCGTTGCCAGTGCTCTCATGTGCTCTGTATATTGCGTGCGTGTGTGTGTGTGTGTACATGTGCGCGTGCGTCTTGTCGTCTGTACACTTACATGTGAGCTCGCAACCATACACACACTCTCTCCCTGCTTCGCATGCATACCATCACTCATACTCACACACACTCACACACTCTCTCACACACACTCACACACACACACTCACACACTCGCATGCTCACACTCACACACACACACACTCACACACTCACTCACACTCACACACTCTCTCACACACACTCTCTCTCTTTTGCTTCGCATTCATACCATCACTCATACACACACATACACACACATGCACGCGCTCACGCACACGCACACCCACACACACGCACACTCACGCACACACACACTCTCTCTCCCTCTCTTGCTTCGCATTCATACCATCACTCATACACTCACATGCACGCGCTCACGCTTACACACACTCTCACGCACACACACACACACACTCACACACACTCACTCACACTCACTCACACACTCGCACGCACACACACACACACATACACACTCACACACTCTCTCGCACACACTCATTCACACACTCTCACGCACTCTCTCACAAACTCACACACTCTCTCTCACACTCACACACTCGCACACTCACTCACACACTCGCACACTCACTCACACACTCGCACACTCACACACTCACACAAACACTCACACAGTCGCAAGGACGCACTCACACACTCTCTCTCTCTTTTGCCTCGAGTTATACCATCACACAGACACACACATACACACACATGCACGCGCGCGCATACGCGGGCAAAACACACGACACACACAGTCTCTCTCTTTATATGTCTCGCGCTCTCTATCTCGGTCGCAGGATGTGTGGACGAATCCAGAGAGAAGGCGCGACATAGATACATGTATGGCTCACTTATTGACGGCGCTTAAAAGGCGCAGTGCTACGGGTCTGTGGCGTGTGTAAAATGGCACACACGCAGAAACCCTCACTTCGTATGCGCTTTCGGACTCTCACAGGA